GAGGAAGTTGCAAGTCCCAGGCCAGCAGACAGATGAGTGGCTGCTGCCAGATGGGGGAAGGAGAGAGGGGGTGCATGGGGGTGTGAGGGAGAGTCAAGGGGCTACATGAGGGCGTGAGGGGGTGTGTGGTCAGGGGGTGCATGAGGGTACAAGGAAGGGTTGAGGAGGGTATGAGGGTGTGCGTGAGGGTTTGTGAGGGGGTGCACGAGAGGCACAGCATGGGTCAGGAAGGGTGCATAAGGTCGCAAGGGGGTACTACCATTCGTTCAGTGCCATCGTAATTTTGAACGGTTAATGAATGGTCATATGTCGAGGATTACCTGTATGTCTTCAGCTTGCCTGTTTGGGAGCACTAAACCTTAATTTATTCTTCTGGAGTGCTTTGCTGAATTGAGGCCAGAACAAGAGGCATCCTATATATTTGATTAAACCAATATTAGGTGTAAATTCCTGAACAAAATGCTGCTATGTATTGATTCGTGTGTGGTCAGTGCTGCAACAGATCTGGAAATTTTCTCTGTTTAATGGTGGCCTCCTGGCTTTTCTGTTTTTTTAAAAAAATCTCTTTTCAGTTCCCAATGTTGCAGATACAGCCACGAAGGTGCACCACATGTTTTTTACGAGGAGTATTTTAAGAATTAAGTTTCACTTCTTCCCTCTCAATGGATCAGTTAGTGGAGATGTTTTATCTGTTCCTTATTCAGTTCTTAATATCAGGAGTGTCTGTAGGATATGATTAAAAAAAGTCAGGGCAACAGCTGCGACAGTCTGATCAGAACTCCGCTTGTGTTTTATGTGCAATGCATATAAAAAACAGGCAGAGCTTCAATTGCGCTGTTATAAGATGATCTTGACTTTTTTGACTGGACCCTGCAGAGACCCCTTCCTCCATCTGGATCTGGGTGAAGATCTGTTTTCATCCCAGCAGCCCTATGAAGTAGTGTAGCTGGATCCCCCTTTCACATGTAACATGAATAATTTGGCGGGTTTCTGAAAGAAGAGGTTAGGGATAGATCATCACAGAGAAAATCTATCTATGTGGTCACTAGGAGTCAAAAATGACTTAATGGCACATAACCATCGTAATCATTAGCAAATTGAGCAAAACCGAGCATTGACAGCTTATAAGCCACGATTTTATAACGTATCGTGATGGTATGAAGCTGATGGTACGAAGCCTGCCAATGGTGGTTTATTTGATAAACCATCTTCAGAACAAAGCATGGATGAACTGGTGGCTGGAGCATGAGTGGACTGGTGGCTGGAGGTGCAAACTTGGTACTACTTTGAGAAGGGGAAAAACTGCAATTGGTATGGCAGTGTTATGCATCTAGGTAGGACCAGGATTTTTAATTTTCCCTTTGTGTTTTTGATGGAGAACAGAGCCAGGAAGGCCTGCTGACAAGCTACTATACAGGTAGTCCTCACTTAACAACCATTTGTTCAACAACCTCACTTAACAACAGTGCTGAACAAAGGGACTTACAACCAGTCCTTGCACTTAGAACCATCACAGCACCCCCACGGTCATGTGATTGCTATCTGGGCACTTGGCAACCAGCTCATGTGACAGTTGCAGTGTCGCAGGATCACATGATCTCCATATGCAACTTTTTCAGCCAACTTTTGGCAAGCAAAATCAATGGGGAACCACATGATTCACTTAATGACCATATGATTCACTTAATGGCCTCTGCAAAAAAGGTCATAAAATTGGGTGCAACTTGGTTAACCAGCATCCCACTTAACAACAAATTTTCCAGTCTCCATTGTGGTCATTAAGTGAGGATTACCTGTAAAATGTCCTCAGTTCTTACAGGACCTCTTGCAGACTTCTTCAGATCTACCCTGTGTGTGCTATATAGGAAGATTGCTGGAGATGCCCCCTTCCCAAATGGTCTTGGAGATGGAACCCTGGACCTAAGCTTCTCCATCACTGCTCCAGTCCTCTGGAATTCTTTTCCCCAGAAGTGAAAACAGTTCCTTTCTTTCTTCTTTTCTGGAAGAAGGTGAAGACTACCTTCTTTCATGGAGCCACAGGAGGATAGCTTGATAGAAAGATAGCCACTGTGTTGGTTCCTGGAAATTATAGTTTTATGCTTTTGTGGTGAGGTAAGACCTTGTGGTCTTGATTTTATGCTAATTTTCCGTGTTGAGCCATCTAAAGTCTGGCAAAGTGGGTGGCATAGATTTAATCCTAATGCATACATACTTCCATACAGATCCATTACTGGTTTCAAAAGATCTAACCACACAGGAGTCTGTGGGGTGGATCAAAATCATCAAGATGACAGCCATGACTAAAGAATTGAATCCCCACCTTTTTTATAAAGTGCATTGTGCATGCAACACATTTTTTAAAGGGGCAGGGCTTCAATCAGAGGGTTGTGGCTACCATCTTGACTTTTTTGACCTTCCCTGCAGATCTCCCCATAACCACAGCTTCATCTGCATCTCCATTTTGGAATTCTTTTTCATGGAATATGAGAATGTATCTAAAATGTTCACTCCGTAGCAATAAATCCCAGTTATTCCCTCTCAGTCCCTGTCTTGCCTCTTCCCTCTCCAGAAGTTGGCAGCTGAGTGTGAGAGTGCTGGCTACCCAGGCGTCCTCATCCCATATAAGTGTGATCTCTCAGTGGAGGAGGAGATTCTCTCCATGTTTTCTGCCATCAAGACTCTCCATCAAGGGGTTGATGTCTGCATCAACAATGCTGGCTTGGCGCGGCCGGAACCTCTGCTGTCTGGCAAGACTGAGGGTTGGAGAACAATGATAGACGTGAGTAAGGGAGAAATGAATCTCCAGGGAACCTTCTCAACCCATCTGCACAGTGCTAAATGCTGCCAAAATGTTCAGCCGGCCAGGAAAGTTATGTTCCCCCACATTTGTTGATTTTCCTTGACATCTTCTACAATCAAATTTGTAAGTGACATAGAAAGTGGTGGCGTCAACATAACTGATTTATTTCCCCCTCCTCCTCCTCCTCCTTCTGCTCTACCTCAACCACCACCTCCTTCTCCTCCATATCATTTTCCTCTTCTTTTTCTTCCTCCTCATTCTTCTTTTTCTCCTTCTGCTCTACCTCAGCCACCACCACCACCACCTCCTCCTCTTCCATATCATTTCCCTTTTCTTTCTTTTTCTCCTTGTTTTTCTTCTCCTCTTCCTTCATCTTCACCTCCACCTCCTCTTCCTTCTGCTTCTCCTCTATCTCAACCTCAGTCTCTTCCTTCTTGGGCTCTCTCAACCTCCTTCTCCTCTACCTCTACCCCCCCCTTCTCCTCCCTGGAAGGAGGCCATTAGTTTGTTTGTTTATTTGAGGCTTAGTATATTGTTCAAATTATTTACCTGAGGGATCAGTGACCTGTTCAGGTGTTTTCTGGTTTAAGCAGTGGCATAAGCACTCACCCGCCCCCCTCTCAACATCTCACAGCATCACCAGATCGCATGACATTTTGGCCTTGCTTTAAAATCTTGCAAGATTTTCACATTTTTGCACCAAGCTCTTTTGAGCATCCAGAGGAGAGCACCAGAATCTTGTAAAATGAGGGGGAAAAAAGATGTCCTTACACATTTTTGCCCATTTGTTTTAACATAGTTGTGTTTATTGTTATCAGATCAAATCTAACCTTTTACTGCAGTCATGAACCAGCAGAAAGCAAATATTTTATTTACTTATTTATTTAAAAGATTTATATGTCTGGCCATTATAAGCAACTCTGCGTGGCTTACAACAAGAATAAGACCAATAACTCTAAAACAATAATAAAACAGTAAAACAATAAAACAAAAACCCTGCCCCTTAATCATTCCCTTGGGACAACCCGCAGCAAACCCAGTTGCCCTCATTCCATACTGTCTATCTATACAATCCTATAGGGTTAGGTTCGGGGTTAGATTACCCAGTGTTTAGGTAAAAAGCCAGGTCATAATGGCCTCCCGAAAGGCTAAAAGGGTGGTGGTCTGCCAAATCGCATGAAAAGGCAGGCTTTCAAGGTCCCACTAGGTGGCAAGATTTCAGGGGAGGGGCCAGGAGCGTGCCCACCCTATCTGGTTTAGTGGGACAGGCAGATATTCTTAGGGAGAGGTGGTCCCGCAAATAACCAGGTCCTGTACCATGAAGGGCTTTAAAGGTGATATAATCATGGATCTAAGAGTTGCTTGTGTGAGATGGGCAGCTATGTAAATGTGACAAACAAGCAAACAAACGGGTTAAAATAAATGATAGCAGATAAGTATAAAAGAAAAATTAAAATTAATTTTAATTAAAAGTGAATTAAAAGAAAATTGGATGGGACTATGTCTGTATTTGGGAGATCCCAACTGGGGCTGTTGTAGGCGTAGCATGGCAAGTTAGTTACAGTGCTGGTAATTGCTAGTTTGCTTAAACTCAAAGCCCCTGATTGATTTTCCAGGCTTCATCTTTTCTCTGCTCTTCTAGGTCAATATCCTGGCAGTCAGCATCTGCACCCGAGAGGCTTACCAGTCCATGAAGGAACGAAACATTGATGACGGCCACATCATCAACATTAACAGGTGGGAGAGTTGTATGAGTGAAATGGCTTTAGCGGGCAAGCAGCCTTCCCCCACAGCGTCGTGCAGTTGGACTACATCTTCCACCATGCCCAGCCAGCCTAGCCAACACACCTCTAAAGGTTGCTAAGTTGAAGAAAACAACCCAAATGCTGCCGATGATCTTTTTAATGGTTTTTTATTTGGTTTTAATACAGTTTAATGGTCTATTTGTATTTTGCTGATTATATTTTGCTGTGGTTTTTAATTTTGTGAGCCGCCCAGAGTCACTTATATGAGATGGGCAGCTATGTATGTTGAATGAATGAATGAATGAATGAATGAATGAATGAATGAATGAATGAATGAATGTGAATGAGGAAAACAGAATGTTCATAATTAGGCTATTGTATCTGTCTTGAGCCTGTGACAATGCATATACTGGCCCTTTCTTCTGGGGTGGGGCAGCTGTGGAGACCATGAACTACATCTCCCAGAATCCCTCACTATCAGCCACTCTGAGTGAGCTGTTGTGGCTCAGCAGCATCTGGAGCCCTGCAAATGCCTTACTTCGGCTTTGATGTATAATACTGGAGGCTGTCAATTGAGATCCAATCTGGAGGTCTTCCTGGTGGGCTCACAGGATGCACAAATGTGCCACGCTTGGAAAAAAGAAAATCTTGGTCTTCTGTCTGAGCAAGAAATCTCTCCAATTTTTAAATCCTTAATTTTTAATCCCCTCTCACCCCTGTGGGTGGTATGTGTCTTCCTCAATCTTGGGTCCTGTACCAGAGGCCTGGGAGTTTGAGGGCTCTACGCAGTATCTTAGTTGTTCCTAGCCCTGCACTCTTCTGGACAGAGAGCTCTGATGTCATTCCTGGGATCTGTTGGAGCCACTCTCCCAGCTTTGGAGTCACACCCCCAAGCGCTCCTACCACCATTGGGACCACTTTAGCCTTTACTTTCCACATCTTCTCTAGTTCCTCCATCAGGTCCTAGTACTTCTCTAGCTTCTCATACTCCTTCTTCCTGAGGTTGATGTCACTTGGCACCCCTACATCTATCAACACCACTGTCTTCTGGTCCTTGTCTACTACCACGATGTCTGGTTGATTGGCTGTTGCCTGCCTGTCCACCTGCATCTGGAAGTCCCACAGAATCTTAGCTCTGTTATTCTCCACGACTTTCTGTGGAATCTCCCATCTGGACTTGGGAGAGTCTAGCCCAGCCTTTCTCAACCTTTTGACCCTGGAGGAATCCTTGAAATATTTTTCAGGCCTTGGGGAGCCCCTGCACATTTAGGCTCAAATATAGGCCAGAAGTTACAAATTTATTATATTCATTTTGTGTGTAGGCCTGTATATGTGCATTAACAGTGTTCTTAAACTAAAAATAAAGAATGAAACTTACCTCTTTAATGTGAAACCTGGGCTTGTTTTCGCTGCACAAATACTCAATTCTGGGCCAAACTTGAGATAAGCACACACGGATTTCATTTGCAGCTGAAATAAGACGATTTCTGTCTTTGCTTTTGATGCTTGTTAAATAAGAAAAAACTTGCTCACCCATGTAAGAAGTTGAAAACTGCAGCAAAATGTTCAGTGCCTTCCTATGAATGGCAGGATACTCTTCTTTCACAGAATCCAGAACTTGTCCATGGACAGATGAGTGAATCTCATCTTGAGTGTATGATCAGACTGCAGCTCATGAAGTTCTTCTCTTCCTCCAAAGTGAAGTTCTCAGGCTGAGCAGAAGATGCAAAGGAAGGATCCCTCACCAAGTCATACGTTTGTGTTGAAAGGGAAGAAAAGTACTGATCAGTTTTGTTCTGCAGTACTTCCAGGTGGTTTTCAAAGATTTGAGACTTTTTGGTATCCTTCCTCACTCTCAAGCCCAAGCAGCAGTGGAAACATTT